CCTGGACAATTGAATAGGATTTAGTTTGCTGCAGAGAGGGCAAAAGTAAGCCATGCTGCAGCAAGTGGACAAGTGTCAGGACCCACTCCGTGGCAGTGCATTTTCAGCACATGGTCTTACGCTTTCTCACAGCAATGTGGGGGCAGTAGACAGTCTCCCCTTCTCCATTTGAGATCTCTGACTTTGCAGAAACCTGCCAAAGTCAGCTGTTACATACTTCTCATGAAATGTACACGAGACTGGCAAGGTACTCCTCTGGAGTTTAGAAGAAAAATGAATGGAAAAGGATGGTTCTGGATTCACTTTAGTTAGTCCTTGCTCTGGGTGTGACTCTGGAGCCATGGAACTCGTTGTTCTTTGTATGATGTAGAAGACTGTTCTGTCTTTTAAAGACTATGCATGTGTCATTTCATACTTTATACATAACAGTCCTCACTTTCTGGAGCAAAACCCTTTAATCCCATGAGAAAGTTTGTATCTTCTCTCTGATGATTGTAGGGAGGGAGAGCTGAGATCTCAGGGTTTAGTGTCCCGGCGAATGAGGCAGCCATTTGTAATGTTCACGTTTGTATGATAGTGGAATTTGTGGGTGTCCTGGTTACCTTTAATCTGAATGCTTCCCCTCCCCCAGCTGCTGACAGGCACAGTGTCAAGCCTGGAGGACCATGGCTACCTAGTGGACATTGGTGTTAGTGGGACCAGAGCTTTTCTGTCACTGCAGAAAGCCCAAGAATACATCCGACAGAAGACCAAAGGTGGGGGTGAGCTCAAGTGTATGGGGCTATATTTAAATGTTTATATTTCATTGCCACTTTGATCAGCAGCGGGATAGAACGGTGACCCTGCAGGCTGGTTAGCTTTGGGGAAATCAGTTGATAGGAGAGAAAATGTGTGGAGGGTCAGAGTGGCAAGTCTCTCTATGGTCTGATGGACTGGCATCAGTATCCTTCACCTCAGAGATTCTACTGAGCTTGGCTCCCAGAACCTGTGACTGGCACTCCTGGCTTATTTGGTTCTTCTTTTGTGAGATTAATTCTAGATCATAGAGGTTAAAAAAATCCTACCCTTCCCATTGCTGGTTAGCGTCAAATGCTCACTGGGTTCCTGGGCCATGGAACTAACTTTCCAGGTTAGCTTGGGCCTATAATTAAGGCCCTTTGTTGTGAAAAATTATTTAAGCCCCTCCTGCACCAAAAGAGCAAAACAGCAAAACCAATAGCAGCAGCCATTCTCATGAAGGTGTGTTTTCATTTTGGGTGCTGGGCTTACAGGTGCCAATCTCAAAATCGGCCAGTACCTGACCTGTGTGGTCGAAGAGGTGAAAAGCAACGGAGGGGTCGTGGGTCTCTCTCTAGAGCACTCAGAGGTTTCTTCCGCCTTTGCAACGGAGGAGCAGAGCTGGAGCCTCAATAACTTGCTGCCAGGGCTGGTGGTCAAAGCCCAGGTGCAGAAGGTGAGTTGTTACTAGTGTTTTGAAAAAGGTTATGACAGATTTATATGCCAGGCTGTTGTAGCACACACCTTTAATCCCAGCACTCAAGAGGCAGAGGCGGGTGGAAATCTGTGAGGAAAGGCCAGCCTGGTCTACAGAGAGAGTTGCAGAATAGCAAGGGTTACACAGAAAACCAGAGCCCTGCCTCAAACCACCTCCCCAAAAGATTCGTTTTATTTGTAATTATGTGTGTGGAGTGTGGGTATGTGGGTTGTGTGGTGCTTGTGGAGACCAGAGAGAGCCACTGGATCAGCCTGGAGCTCAGGTTACAGGTCGTTATGAGCTGGCTGGAGTGGGTTGTGGAAACAAACTCCAGTCCTCGGCAGAGCAGTGCACACTCTTGTCCACTGAGCTATCTCCCAGAAATCTTGTAAAGTGTCATTTTTAAATGAAGTATTAATATGCATACGAATAGAGCTGCTGTCAGATCTTTCTGGTCATTGAGTACTTGGAATATGGCCAGCGCCATATGCTCATACAGTACATTGGACAAACTATTATTTTGTTTGAAACTAGCTATGTAGACACCAGGCTGGCCTCAAACTCTGATCTGCTTACCTCTCCCTTCCAAGTGCTGGGTTAAAAGGAGTGTGCCACCATGCCCAGGCTAGTCAAGCTATTATTCAACCAAATCTCATCTGATTTTTTTGTAAAACTAAAAGCTTTCTTTTATATTACATTTTTGGGGCTAGAGAGATGGCTCATCAGTTAAGAATGCTTACCTGGGTTCAGTTCTGGCATCCATATATCCCACTCGTAACAACTGTCTGTTACTTTAGTTCCAGGGGATCTGACCTCCACAGGCACTGGCCTTGCACACACTCATACATTGCAGTCACAGCACTTATACACATAGGCTAAATCTAAAATAAAAATTCTTTTTGAAATTACATTGAGAGGGTGTGTGTGTGTGTAAGCACACATCGTGGTGCAAATGTGGAAGTCAGAGGCCAGCTTATAGGATTCAGTTCTCTCCTCTAACCTGTGGTTTCCAATGATCGAATCCAGGCTGTCAGGCTTGGCTGCAAGTGTCCTTACTCACTAAGTCAGCTTACAGGCTCCGTGTAATTTTTTATACAATGACTGTTAGAAGAGTTAAGGGTACTAATATGGCTTGCATTGTCTTACATATGAACACGAGTGTGTTGTCATCTGTTTATATTTTGAGACAGGGTCTCACTGTATAGATCAAACTGGCCACCGTGTCTTGATCCTCTTGCCTTAGCTTCTCTAGGATTGGCTTTATAGTAGTCATGGTCTCTTTCATTTATTTATTTGTTCTTTCTTTTGGGTTTCGAGACAGGGTTTCTCTATGTAATAGTCGTGGCTGACCTGGAACTCACTCTGTAGACCAGGCTGGCCTCGAACTCACTTGAGACCCATGCCTCTGTCTCCTGAGTGCTGGGATTAAAGGCGTGTGCCACCGCCCAGTTGTTTTTCAGTTTTTTGAGACAGGGTCTCGTTTTGTAGTCCTGAACTCACTATATGGAATACACTGGCCTTGAACTCTGAGTTCTGTCTGCCTCAGCGTACAGAGTGCAGAGTTTAAAGGTGTGTGCCCGCTGGGGGTGGCTGCGGCACACGCTTTTAATCCCAGCACTTGGGAGGTAGAGACAGGCAGAGGCCATGGTGATCTACAGCGTGAGTTCCAGGACAGCCAGGGCTATTACACAGAGAAACTCTGTCTTGAACAATCAAAACAACAACAAAAACTGTGTACTACCATGCCTGACCCTAGTCATGATATTTTCTTTGTTTTTTGTTTGTTTGTTTGTTTGGATTTTTAGACTGTCCCAGGACTCAGTTCTGTAGATCAGGCTAGCCTAAAACTGAGATCTCTCTCCCTTGGACTCCCAAGTGCTGAGATTAAAAGCATGTGCTACCATGCTCAGCCATAGCCATAGTACTTGATGGACACTGCTCATCTAAAGTCAAATGGAGCCAGGTGTGGTGATGCATCTATCTTTATAATCACAGCTCTTCAGAGACAGAGACAGGTGGAGTTTGGGCTATATTATGAATCCTGCCTCAAAAAAAAAGTTGATTAAGCTGGTCAGATGCCTTGTCACCTAGCTAATGGCCAGAGTTCCATCCCTGGGACCCACATGGTAGAGGGTCCAATTCCTACAGGCTGGCTGTCCTCTGGCTCCCACTTGGATGCTGTGCCTGTGCTTTGTGTACTCATTCACACATGGAATAAGTAAAATACGATAAAAAAATCTTAAGTTGGTTTTAAAAGTCAGGTGATATTGGAAGCTCACAGTGAAGAACTGAGCCACCTCTCCTAATGGTGGCAGCTTCTGCTGGTGTCTTCTGATCCATCACTTTGAAGCATGTTTTTCTCTCATTTGGGTGTTGGCAACATAACTGTGGCCTTGTGCATGCATTTGTTTATCTTTTCGAGAAGCTGCTTCCTGGTGGGTGTGAGGTGGCGTCTCATGGTGATTTCAATTGGCATTTCCTCAACAATTAAGTGATTCTCTCGCATCCTCATGGTGATGATGTGCTTGTCTATTCAAAGATGCTGTACTTTTTAAATTTAAATGATTGCTATTGATAATAGCTAGCCATGGGAAGAGAAATGCATAGTTGTATTGTGGAATCCAGTGTTTGCCATAAAGTATCTCTCACATTCCACTCCATCGAATTCTTTTTCATAACATGTTATTTTTACTTCTAGGTAACTGAGTTTGGACTCCAGCTAAACTTCCTTACTTTCTTCACGGGCCTGGTTGACTTCATGCATCTGGAGCCCAAGAAAATTGGAGCATATTCTTCAAAGCAAACAGTAAGAAATGTTCCAGCTAGCTTTTCTTGATTCTTGATTCTTTGGTGTGTCCGTGTCCTGTCTATCTTCAGAGGAGGTCCTAGGAGTTCATGTGTATTTCATGCAGTGAAATACGGGAAATTGGAGGTGACACAAGAAATGACCAGTGGCTAGACTTAGATTAGAGAAGGAACAGCTGCAGAGAGTGGGTAGCTTTTGTCTTTTACTTTAAAGGAAGAATAATTACTATAAGACTTAGTTTGTTCATGTGGGGAAATGTGGCTTCAACAGTTTGGAGGCCGGGTTCCATGGCTCATGCCTATACTGCAGCACTAGGAGACAGAGGCAGGATGATCACTCCAAGTCTAGGCCAGCCAGACACAAACACACCACACACTCTACACTCTGCATCCCCACCATGAGAAAAAGGGTCTGTGCGGGCTGTGTATGTAACTTGTGTTAGAGCACCTACTTAGCAATGATGAGGCCCTGGTTTTTTTGTTTATTTCTTTAAAGATATGTTTTTAAGTGTGTGGGTTGATTGTGCACATGTCTACAAGTGCCTTCAGAGGCCAGAGCATTAGATCGTCTGAAGTTGGAGCTACAGGTGCTTATAAGCTAGGAACTGACTTGGGTCCTTTGCAAATGCTGTGCGTGCTCTAATGGCTGAGCCTACTCTCCAGCCCTATCCTACCCCTGTCCCAGTTTTCCCTGAGACTCTGTAAGTAGTGCAGAATTTATTTTAAATATGAACGCTTCAGGAATTTGCGTGTCATCCTTGCACAGGGGCCATGCTAATCTTCTCTGTGTCTTCTCAATTTTCGTATATGCGCTGCTGAAGTGCGCACAAGTACTGCAGATTTTTAAAAGTTACATTTTATTTGTTTGTTTGTTTATGTCGCAGAGGAAGTGAATGTGCCACAGCACTTGTGAGAAGGACAGAGGACAGCTTGGGGGAATTCACTTCTCAGTTTCTACCATATGGGACCCAGGGCACAAATTCAGGCTTGGAGGCAGATGCCTTTACCCAGGGACATCCACTGAGCCTTGTTGCTAGCTCTGTTTGTTGTCCAGACAGAGTCTGTTGTAGCCCAGGCTAGTCTCTGACTTGCTATGTAGCTGAGATGTGCTTGGACTTCTGATCCTCCTGTTTCTGCATCCATAGTGTTGACATTGCAGGTGTGTGCTAGCACACCCAGCTTAGATCTGACTTCTGGAATATACCAAAATTAAAAGTATACTTGATTAAAACACTTTTATAAGTGGTGGGTTTTCTACAGTTAGCTAAATGTTAAAATTTTGTACAATGAGACAGCCACTTTTGGCTCATGCTTTTAATCCCAGCACTTGGGAGGCAAAGGCAGGCAGTACTCTTTGAGTTCAAGGCCAGTCTGATATACATTGTGAGTTTCAGGACAGCCAGGGCTACACAGAGAAACCCTGCCTCAAAAACAAAAATGAAGAAAAAAATGAATAAATAAAAAATAAAAAAAAATTCTACAATGAACTTGGAGATTTTAGAATGTGTGTTATTTAGAATTTTTTTTTTAAATTCTCAAATGATTCGGTTTCACCTAAGATAGTATTACATCCTTATGTATCTTATAGAGAAAAAATGTTTTAAGAGAAATTAGACATTCCTCGTGTTTTTGGCCAATAAATACTGTTGACATCACAGTGAACTTTCTAGTGCTGTTTTACAGTAGTTATGTTTGTGTGAAGAATGGACACAGTCTGCCCATTTTTTTGGTTTTGTTTTTCCCCAAGACAGGGTTTCTCTAGGCTGTCCTAGAACTCTGGAGACCAGGCTGGCTCCAAACACAGAGATCCCCCTGTCTGTGCCTCCCTAGCCCTGGAATTAAAGGCGTGCGCCATCACTGCCTGGACAGTGTACCTTTTAACCTTGTTGGTCAGGTGTATATTTGGGGCATTTCAGCTAGGCCTTCCCCGTGGTGGCATTGGTGTGATTGATTTGGTACCGAGTCCGACACACAGCACAGTGCCCCTGGGACAGACACTCCATTTGACTTCTCCACACACTGATTCCGGGGCTGCCATCTGTACTCCTGAAGGTTTTAGTACTTCCCTGGTTAGCACATGGTCTGCTCTCAGCTGTGTTATGTGGGCACCTCCTGCTCACTTTGCTCTTTTGTCCAGGTAAAAGCCTGCATCCTCTGCATCCATCCTCGGACCAGAGTTGTGCGACTGAGCCTTCGTCCCGTCTTCCTGCAGCCTGGGCGTCCACTCACCCGGATTTCTTACCAGCAGCTGGGGGCTGTGCTGGACAATGTTCCTGTTCAGGGTTTTTTCAAGAAAGCTGGGGCCACCTTCAGGCTGAAGGACGGGGCCCTGGCCTATGCCCGGGTGAGGATGCTTCTTTGTTTGATTAAAGATCTCATCACTGGAAGGACTTTAGGAAAGATGGGTGCTTTTCTGCTTCCTTCATCCCTTGATATTGATAGTCAGTGTGAAAGGCTGCCCCCTAAGGTCAGAACAGTGACAGTCTGTTGTTTTAGAATGTTCAGTAGCACTTGCTTTGTATGATACCTGGCCAGTGGAAAGAACAGGAATGAGATAAGATTCAGGCCAAAGCTCAGTGGAGCCTTTTGTTTTTGTTGTTAAGATTTTAATAATATCTAATTATGTGTATGTGTGTGACTTTGTGCCTATGGGTAGAGAGCCCAGGGGGGCCAGAACAGGATATCAGTTCCTCTGGAGCTAGAGTTACAGGAGGTTTCGAGCCACCCATCATGGGTACAAGAGCAGTACACATTTACTACTCGGCCACCCCTCCAGTCCCTGCAAAGCTTTTGTTGAAGGGCTATATTTTAGGCTTAGGGGCTGTATAATCTGTGTCCCAGCAACTCCAGGATGTCGTGAAAAATGAAAGCAGCCACAGACAGTGTATAACCAACCCAGCAGGCCCAACTACAATAAGACTCTTCATTTATAAAAGTAGGCACTGGCATATGAGTGTAGTTCATGGACGCATGATCTGGGCTCTCTTCCATGAGATTCTGTGATAGTAAAGGGTTAAGGAGTTGTTTTAACAAAGTAAGCATTATTTTAAAAAATGCTTTTAAATTTTGCTTGCATGTATGCCTGTGGACCTATGAGACTGGAGTTACATGTGGTGGTAAGCTACCACGTGAGTGCTGGGAATTGAAGCTGGGTCCTCTAAAAGAAGCTTTTAACCATTGAGCCATCTCTCCATCTCACGACGTACTCTTTGTAGTGGGTGATAAATGTGTTGTCATCTCAGTGTACTTGGCACTCTGACTGCCTTGGAGTTGTGTTTCTGACTTATCTTCACTTACTTGGTATCTGTAGCTCAGCCATCTCTCTGATTCTAAGAAAACATTCAACCCTGAGGTCTTCAAACCAGGGAGCACTCACAAGTGCAGGATTATTGACTACAGCCAGATGGATGAGCTGGCCTTGCTGTCTCTGCGGAAGTAAGTGCCCTTAGCACACAGGGAGGTGTGTGCCTATGTCTATGCATTTCCACTCCCTCCGGGTCTTCCTGGGTGAGGGTGTCCTTTCTTGTTGGCATGATTGTGGAGGTCCTGAATTTTAGGCAACGCCTTCCTTAGACTGTGTAATCATATATTTTTCTTTCGCTCTAGGTCAGTTATTACAGCTCAGTTTCTTAGGTATCAGGACATCAAAATAGGGGCAGTGGTAAAGGTAAGAACTCAAGCATGCATGTAGACCCTTCTCCACCGTCAGGCGTCCTTAGTCACATGTTAGCTGTCAGCTCATTAGTCCTCAGTGATCCATTGTAAGTCATGTTCTACTGTCTAAAAATGGATATTCCTGTGTCTTCCCTTGGGTGGCTGTAATTAATTTCAAAGTAAAGTCTTCCTACTAGCCCCACCCAACTACACGGAGACAATGGGCCACATGTGTTGGGGTTGGGATTTGGTGGCAGCTGTTAGAGCAGATAGTTAGTTGTGTGCTGTTAGTGAGACACTGGCCCCAGTTCCCACTCCTGCAGCACTTAGCACTAACGGAGCACTTCCTTTTTAGGTGGGGTTCATTCCTTAAGAGACAGTCCCCTCTGAGACACAGGGACACAGGCTTAGCCAGAAAGCCTGGAAGGCTTCGTACATAGGCCTGCCTGAGTCTTGGTTGCAGGGCTAGGATTGGCTTTTACCTACATGAGATTTTGAGGGTGGGCACTGAAACAGACAATGACAACTCTAGTAAGAGAAATACTGTTCTCCAGTAAGAGAATATCATGTCTTTTCTTTGGACCCCGTAGGGCACAGTGCTGGCCATAAAGCCATTTGGGATACTGGTGAAAGTGGGTGAGCAAATGCGAGGCCTGGTACCTTCCATGCACCTGGCTGACATCATGATGAAGAATCCAGAGAAGAAGTACCACCTAGGGGATGAGGTCAAGTGCCGGGTGAGCTCCCCCTCCCCGAAGGGCCCGTGTTTTGGTTATGGATAGATGGGAAGAGAGTGGTTCTAAGCTGGAGTCTCTGCCTTTTTCTGTGAAAGGAGTGTGTGATGTTGGCAGGGTCTCCGTTCCCGAACCCTGGGAAAAGAACAGTGAGCCCCTGGTTTGTGCACTATATTGTGAGTTAAAATACCCACACAGGAAGAAAGCACACACTAGTTGTGTGGCCTTTTGTCTCACGGTTGTGTGCAGGCCATACGCAGTGGTCAGAGCTCAGAGAGAGAGGTGGGGTTTAGCAACAGAATCAACAGCCACTGCCATATGCTGTCTTAAGTCACCATATCAAGTAACTATATTGTCCTTACTTTCCAAGTGTGCCAATTAAAGGGTAGGAAAGCCAAGAATCTGGTCAAAGTCGCACAACTAATAAACGGTAGAACCAGTTTTCAGAGTTAGCTCAGTATGATAATAATGCCTTCTGTACTTTTGTCCATAGTGGAACTTGAACTTGAAAGGATGGGCAAGGTTTGGGAGGTTGTAGAAGAGCAAGAGATATGTTCAGACTCGGAAATAGTCCTCTGATACATTATGTATGAAATTCATAGAAAAACCCATTATTATGTATAATTAACATATACTAGTCAAAACCTTATTTACAAAAATAGCCTAGACCCTGGGAGGTAGCTTAGTGTGTAAGGGTGCTTGCTGCAAGCTGACAGCATGAATTGGATTCCCACCCTCTAACTTCTGCACACATGCACCATGGCATGTCCATGTCCTCTACTTCCCCACATACAAACACACATGCACCATGGCATGGGCATAGCTCCCACTCCCCCTGACAACACACGTGCACAATGGCAGGTGTGTGTCCTCCAACACAAACATAAATAAGCAATAAACCTAGACTATGCCACAAAAACATTAGAGGTTTTCATCAAATACCTAAATCCCTCAAGAAACTTGTTACAAAAAGCAAGTGTGATACTATACAAGTACGCAGCATAGGGCCTGTTGTGTTTGGGCAGTGGGAGTTCCTGGTTCTATTCTGCCCTGGTACCGATAGTTGAAGCCAGTGCCTCCTGTGTGCTAGGCATGCTGTCCCACTCAAACATACTATTGGCTCAAGCCAAGTTTTCTTCTGTTTACTGTATTTCATTATAATTGATACATAAAAGGCAGTCATTACACATTGGTGCAATTTTTATGTCATAAGGTTGAGGAATTTAAAACAGGTTTCTCAACAGGCATGGTGATGGCATGCCTTTAATCCAGCACAGTGCTTGGGAGGTAGAAGCAAGTAGATCTCTGTGAGTTTGAAGCCAGTTTAGTTTACAGAGTAAGTTCCAGGACAGCCAGAACTGTTTCCACAGAAAAAAGGAGGGAGGGAGAGAGAAATGAGGGGGAGAAAAAGAAAGAAAGGGGTTTTCTCTGTTTTCAA